GAAGTCTTAAAGCTGTCAAGTTACAAACCCTTGCACCCCTAACCCTTTAGAGAAAAAAAATCCAGGGGTGTTCAACGTTGACAGCTTTAAGACTTCTGGACTTCAACTCCCAGAATTCCTCCTCTCGCTCTTCATCTGGGTGCATCTCTTTCTTCCGCCATGCTAAATATTGTCTCAGCAGAACAAACATATGGGGAGGAAATATGTTTGAGCAGGCTTTCCCGTGAAATATAGCTCCCTTGCTGAGCGAAGCCTATCTATCTCTCTGTGCAATGCCATTTAACTGTTTGAAAACCTTGTTTTCTAACATCTGCCCTTTTCGAACAAGCAAATTACCGAAGAGCGATTATTAGTCGCCTTGGAAGCGAAGAACAAGATGCACAAGGGCAATTGTTTGATCAGAAATTATTAGGGCAAAACTTCAGATTTTAGGCCAAGTCTGTGCTTCCTTTGCTTTCAACCCACCCACTCACCCACCCTGTTGTTTCAGCTGGTGGACATAAACCAAACAGGGTCAATACCCTGAAACAGGCTAGCTTAAAGAAAGAAACTGTTTGGACTCGATTTATAATGTAATAGTTTTAATATTGTGTGAACTTGTGTATTTGGGTTCTTTTTTTTAAAGTTTGGCTGAAGAATTTGGACTGTGGCAACACTGCTTGTCTAGACTGGAGTATTTCTGATGGGGGAGAATTCTTGATCTCTCACATCATGAAGCCAACTGTAAAGAGGGGAATAGGCATTTTATGATTTTAAAGGACATGTTTTCTGAATTGGATTAAGATCCTTCATCCTAACATGGATCTCTCTTACTAATCGGCGTCCCTGCAGATTTTATTCCACTAGTCATTGCCGATTTATAGGGTTCCGTGCTCATGTCCATTTTAAAGACCACTGAGCCAGCGCTGTCCGAAATCGTGGAGTGCTGTTACTTTCCCCACCAAAGTAGTACCTATTTATCTATTCGCATTCACATGTTTGTGGGTTGCTAGGTTGAGCAGGAGGTGGGCCCCTGAAAGAAAGATCTCATCCCATTATGAGGCACTCAGGGGGTCTCGAACCTAGGCTGCCGGCTTTCTAGCTGACAAACTCAGCATCTTAACCACTGAACTTCCGTGCTGCCCTCTCTTACTAATGAAGGAATTAAAATTGTACTTCCCCAGTTACAAAGTGATTTAAAAGCATTTTCAACCTGTCACGCCCAGCATGTAACTTCAAATCAAATGTTTCCTCTCGTAATAGCAATAGCAATAGCAGTTCGACTTATATACCGCTTCATAGGGCTTTCAGCCCTCTCTAAGCGGGTTACAGAGTCAGCATTATNTCCTTCCTTACTGCAATACAATGCCTTTTAGGGGAATCTGTTTATTTGACCTCTATTTTGCTATTCGATCATAGGTACTCCTGAAAAGTACCGTTCTTCTCCTTCATGCTATTAGGATAAATGAATATTCACTCATCTTCTTTGTTAATGGAGTTATGGAAAGATTATTAACCTTAGCTACCATGTCCCATCCCAATTTTTCTTGGCTTTCTTCAAGCTCATTTTTTGTTTCCGATCCATATAGTTATAACTAAATCACCTGGAGACCTAAATCTGTGTCTTTTGATTCCCTTCTTTTCATATTCCTTCCCAAAAAAAAATATGCAGAAAAATAGCACGTGCACTTATGCAAAGCGTAGTATTGTCTGATCTAAAGCTGGGGGAAATGCTGAGTATTCCGGAGTGAGCAAGGAGACCTTATTTACAAAAATTGGATTCCTTGACCAACAACTTCCCAAGTTTCAGTTTTGCAAAAACAAGGGAGGCAAAAAAAGCGAAACTAAAACTTGGTGGTGACTATCTCATTTCATTTCATTTATTAAATTTATAGGCCGCCCAATCCCGAAGGACTCCGGGCGGCTATCTGCTGGGAGCTTTGGCAATCGAAGTAGTCCTTGACTTACGACCACGAACTTTGCTCGTCATAAGGTCGCAAAATGTGGATGACATGATCATGGGACATTGCAATTAATACGAACCAGGTGCCAAATGTCTGGAATGTGATCACATGACCATGGGGATGCTGCAAAGGTCATTAGCTGTGGAAAACAGCCCTAAGTCACTTTTTTTCTGTGCCGTTATAATTTTGAATCGTCGCTAAACGAACTATGGTAAGTCAAGGACTGCCTGAAGAGCATCCCATGCGCAAGGAATTAGGATGTTTTGGAATGAAGCAAGCAGCTATGGTTGCTGTGACACGGCAGTCCCCTAAATCTTGGGAAGATTTGAAATAGAGCCATGCGCACATATTCCTGAATACCAAAGATGTAAATTTCAGCCCAGCCCTAATTGAAACTAAAGCAGGTTTCTTTTGTTGTTTTTTTAAATTTTTGATCTGGCATCAATAGGAAAAGGAAGCGAAGTGGGAAGAACGAAACAATAGCAACAATCGGACCAAGACTGTGAAACATTATTTATCTTTTAAAATAAAAATGCTTCACAGCTGGAAGAGGGAACGGCTTCGGGATATACACTGGCAGCCAACATAATTTTGGGTTTTGCCAAGGAGAAACTAGTCTATATTACTATAAATTTATCGATAAGACCTCCAGCTTAAAAATACGATGTTGCGAAACGTCCAGCTTACCTGACGGATATGCATAGTCAACTGATGTTGGGTATTGCAGATCTTATCACACAGAGGGCAGATGTAGGAAGACTTCTCATCTTTTGTTTCCTATTTTTTTTTTCAAAAAAAAAACACGTTTTCATAATGTGATTTAAAAGCCAAGTTTATCATTGTAAACATTTTACAAAGAAAAATGTTACAGCGAGGTTAACAATGATACGCCCTCATATTCAGAATAGTGAATTCTTGCAGACTTAACATGGGGGAAAATGTTATTAAAAAGGCTTCTTTTTTTTTTAAGAAAAAAATCTACAATCAAAGAAAAATAGCAATAGCAATAGCTAGACTTATATACCGCTTCATAGGTCTTTCAGCCCTCTCTAAGCGGTTTACAGAGTCAGCATATTGCCCCCAACAATCCGGGTCCTCATTTTACC